ACGTTTTTACCAGATTACGTTTTTACCAGATTACGTTTTTACCAGATTACGTTTTTACCAGATTACGTTTTTACCAGATTACGTTTTTACCAGATTACCATTTTACCAGATTACCATTTTACCAGATTGCCATTTTGCAAAAATTGCCCTTTTTGAATGTTTCTCAATTTGACTTATGTTGTTGTCCTCACAAAATTCTCATCGCTTTTCATTAAGGTTGATTCCATTTTTGGTAATCAAATTGAATTCTCAACTTATGATTAATTTCTTTTCAGGATTTGGTGGAATATTTTGAAGAAATCGACGTCACGTTCAAAGACTTTCTGACCACCAAGGAAGCCTTGTTTCCATTGATCAAATCACAAAGTCTTCTTGAAAAGCTTTCAGTTCGTTTTGACAACTTATATAGTCAATTCGACAATGCGAGAGGGTCTTGTACCCAGGCTCTGTACAAAAGGTGCCAGTCACTAATTGATGACTTAGACGAGAATCTCAATTACGCTCAAAAGGTGTTGCGCAGCGTTGCGGAGGCGCTGTATAGCAAAACAAGCAGTCCCCACAAGTTGATGGAGCGATTGAAGGTTTGTTCAGTGCCTGCCGTAATATCAAATACCACTGTAATAACAATGACCATGTAAAGAAATTGACAGGTCCAGGGACAAGTTGCAGTCTTATAGCTTTCATTTTCTGCGTTTTAAAATGGGCTACATCAATCTTTTTCATTAGCTGAGTTGAATGAAATTTCTTTCAGGAATTTGAGAATGAATTCTATGATAGGGGAATTTTTTTCATTTTGTTTCCTATATCTTGCGTGTTAGGTATGCAAGATTTTGAACTTTTTAACGCATTTAGCCATTTTTTACATTTAACAGAATCTTGAGGATGCAAGTCAATACCAAAGCTGCAATGAAGACTTAGAGTCCCTGAAGACACTGTCAGACGCATTAGAGTCACTCAAATATCCCGACGGAAGTTTTCAAGAAAAGCTGGAACAGCTTAAGGCAGTTTGGGCCTGCAGACAAAGCGAATTCGCGGAACTGGAAGAACAAATAGAGCCTGAGCTGAATGTACAGAATGAATACTATGAAGGGCTGGAATCTTTATCAGAGTGGATTGATACAATGGAAGACTTGATCGAGTCGGCGAAAAACGCAGACAATTATGATTTGTTTAAAGAAGCCGAAGATTGTTTCCAGGTAACATTCCATCTTTAATGTTAATATCCTGAATGAGAAGATTTTGCCAAAAACTCCGACCAGATTGTCGTCGCAATTGGGAATTCTTTATATCAATGTATCACAACTGAATAGGGTCCAGACGACTCATTATTAATTGAGACATGCATTTGCTGTAAAACGTGATCGCGTTTTAGAATATTTCGGTAAAGGGTTTTTAGCAGACGTCGAAATAAAATCTCGTTGTCGTTTGATAATTTCATTGTTTGGTAATGTTTTGTATTCAAGTTTTATTTGAATAATTCACTTGCATGGTCTTATACTAGGAACTGACGTCAGAACTGGACATATGCATGGAAAATGCCAAGAAACTGTCCTCTACTGTAGCCTCGTTGTCAGCTAGTTGGACAATACCGGACTTAAAGGAAGATTTTAAAAGCTTGAAGAGTCGATTCGATATGATAAAAGTAACGATATCAGAAGTAGAAACGGCACTGCCATTCATGCACAAGTGTTTTGAGTACCAACCAACATTGTTAGAAGTGCTCACGTGGGTTCAGGAGTTGATACTGACACTAGAAACGGAGTTTACGGCAGATAATGTGGATCAAGTTAACGAGGAGTTGAACATACATAAGGTAAGTTGCATTTGTCATTTGGTGTTCCCAATCTTCTAGTTTCTGTAGAATGGACTTTTATTTTTATCGGTTGTGGGTTTTTGGTTTGAATACGTAACGTCTATGTTGAATTCAATGTACGAAAATATGAGAGTTAGAATTTCTTTATGAATCAGTATTTTGGTGTTCTGCTTCATAATCCGGGAAGCAAATTTTTTTGGTGAACTTCTAAACATTGGAAACTGAGACTAAAAAGAACATTCTTTGTTCAAATACCACTAAGAAAAGGAAAATTGGTTATCTCGTTGCTACATTTTCATTATTCTACCAGTGGCAATCCACTGATCTCGACGACTATCCGTAAAATATTATTAGTCATGTCTTGCGTTGAAGAAAAGCAAGCACACCGATGCCCCGAAAGTGTTTTCTTGGTACTTTTGCATTCCTTTCTATTAACTGCCTACCTGCCTAGGCTTAATAACTGTGACAACAGCCTGGGCAGGTCTATATTCCTGTTAGAAATTGGAGCATCTTTCTATTGTCTTTGGTGCGTTTAAAGTTGGATTGGTTTTGTTTTCTTTACCAAACCAATACAGCTAGCACTAGCATGACACTAAAATGCCATTTATTTTAAATAATGCATACTGAATTGTCGTCTTGATTGGTGGATATAATTCTTTTTTGTTCTGGTTCCCTTTTGATCATTTTCTGTGGTATTAATTCGGCGTTATGAAGTATTTATGATTCCTAGTCTGTCCTTTGATTCTTTTGACCTGGAAAGCAACTTTGTCTTTGTTGGTGTTGCTACAATCGTCTTTTGGATACGCCCGTTGTTTTTCGTTTTTAACTCCTTCGTATTTCTTTGACCAGCATGATCAAGCTAGTTAGCTTCAACCATTAAAATATGTCTTTTATTCTGTTTATGTTGATGTCTAGACGTATACCCTCAAGCCATCGTTTTGGCGATTGGTCATGGCACATTGAATTTACATAGCGAGCCCCTATTTGCATTCATTTATGGCCAGGGCTAGTGACATATTCGTTTAAACGTGTTTCCCTTCCTTAGCCTTAGGCATTTAAGTTTTGAAAGGTATACATATACATATTTTCCTTTTTGTTTATGCACCTGACGTTGTTAAGCTTGAATGTAAATGGAAGTTTAATCAAATAATAATGTTTTAGGAAATAGAAGAGAAGATCGAAAATCATAGAGAAAAAGTTGAAGAAACCTTGGCAAAAGGAAAGCAATTGACGAGAGAGAATCAGCTAGCTCCGGACATTGTCACCGACCAAGTTGAAACGCTAGGCCGTCTATGGGCACACGTGTTTGAACTCAGTGCGCATCGAAGGAAGGATTTAGAAGACAGTTTGCAGCATTGGAATACCTATGTTGAAGAGCTCGAGAAGTTGCTTGTGCTGCTTAATGAAAAAGAGGCTTTATTGCATAAGAATAACGACAGCGTTCATCTATGGAACGAAGACAAACTCGATGAGAAGATTTCCGAATACCAGGTTGCGCTTAATGAAGTCGAAACCCTTTTCGCCTTTTAGTCAATGTCTTCATTTACAGCAGGTTTTATTTCCTACAACTTAAAATAAGTAGAAGTTTATGGACTTCTGGTGTCATGTTATTTGCTATCCGTTGGATAATGTCATTTATGGCAGAAATGTTTCTTATATTATAGCTAATTAATTTTATCATTTGCTTTCTTTTAGTGGTTTGAACAGGTGCAGCTTTGAATTGATATTCTTTTAAACAGATTATAAGTATCCTTATTTGGTCTTTATTCGCCACAAACTAACAATAAATCAGTTATCATTTGCAAGCCCAAATAACGAATCAAGGCAGAAATTCGTTTTATCCATTTAGACAGGATTTGTGTGCTTATTGTTTTCTTCTTTCTTTTCCTCAGCTTTTGGACGAGGAATTAGATGCTGATCTTGAAAAAGAGGCCAGCGTGACTGAGGCTGCAGAGAAAATCATGGAGCACATGTCATCATCCGGGAGCGAGAAGGTTATGGATGAACGGATGCAACTTGAACGACACAAGAAAACTATCAAGATTGAAATTGAACAGAGAATGGACACATTAAAAAGCGAAAAGCAAAAATGGAAATCCTACTTTGAGAATAAAAAGCAATTTGAGGATTGGCTGAAAGCAACTGAAAAAAACTTGACAAGTCTTTCAACTGGTGCTATAGATTTGGAAACGCCAGCCAGATTCCAGGTATTTCAGAGCGCTGTATCTACTCTCTGACGCTTTAGCCAAGATCCAATAATTTTCCTGTCGATTTCTACGTACTTCTTTTTACTTTGCTACCAATTCATTGGAAAGGTGGATTTTATCTTCTTGCAGTGATAACAGCTCAGCTTGTTTTTAAATAAAAATGTGAAATGTTTGAATGAAAGCAGTTTGAGAATTGCAGTCACATTTCAGTACATGTTCGTTTGCTTGCTGAAAGCTCTATTTTTAAGACCAACTTTTATCTTTTGCAGGAATTAATTGAAAAGATTGTAACAAACCACAAAACTCTTGAGTTTCTGAACACTCTTTCGTCTGGTTTTGTGCTGGATATACGTGATCAGCGAGCGATGGATTTGCGAAACAACGCTTGTCATTTAAACGATCGATGGGACAAGCTTTACGAGCAGGCAAAATGCAACGCCGAGTATGCGAAAAAACACTTGAATCCTTGGTTTTCGTATCGTGAAAAGATCGAAGAAATGACGAAATGGCTGGAAAGTACAAAAAGCTTGACAGACGTTGAGTTGAAGCAGTTTCAAAATTGGAAGATGCTAAAAAGGTTCTTGACGAGGAAAAGGTGAAATTTGCGAAAATGGTTTAGATTTGAAATGTTCATTATTTTTTGTTTCTAAAGATGTTTCATGCTATTGTGATTTCTATGGTCTATCCGTATTTCTCTTATCTTTGTCTATTTATGTTTTGTCTGTGTTTTGTTATTTTTTGTTATTTTTACTTGACCGATTGATACAGCCTCGTGTTTTGCCACGTGTGAAGTACGTTTTTAATGTACCAAATCCAGCGACAAAGATGTCTCTTGCAAGATATTTGACCCTGTTGAGTAATATTCCTTGACACGGTTAACTGACCGATGAGTCAGTGTAAAGTAGTGAATCCCACTTGCATTCAAGATGATCCTTTTGCTAGAGGTTTTGATGTTGTTTTTATCTTGTGAACAGGCAAAGCTAAATACTGTGAAGAACAAGCGACCGAGTCTTGAAGATCTCATCTGGAAGGGCTCTCTTTTGCCAAACAAATACAAATTTGCTGTCAGAATTGACATCAGGTCAGAACTACAACATCTTGATGAGAGCTGGACCAAAGCAAACAACATTTTGAGCGACCGAGTAAATCACGTGACAAAACTCTATACTCATTGGGAAGCCTGTTGCTCTGAGCTAGATTCCGTAGAGTTATGGGTTGACGGCGTTTGTGTCATTCTTGATAATGAACAAAAAACCAAGCTTAGAGATGGAGAAAAATTACAAATATTTTTGGTGAAATTTCAGGTAACTCATTTCACTTTCATGTAGAAAGTGAATTAATATTTGATTATGTCGTCCTCTGCTGTTATGATTATGTTAGGAAGTGCCGCCATCACCCCTTCGTGGGGGTAGCGTGCCCCTTATTAGCGATTTTTTTCTTCAGTTTCAACGGCCCATGATGTAATGAGCTCGCTATAGGGTAAATCAAGTGGCCCAGATGATTTCAGCAGTATTTGGTTTATGTTGTACGCATCTATTAAACAGGTGCAAGGTATTGTTTTTGCACTGTGCATTATTGCAAGACAGACTCTGATGTATGTATTTTCTCTGTTATTAGACAATTTTAGATGACTTGCCAGGCAAAGAGACAATTCTGCAATCGATATCCGATAAAGTTGTTGAGCTTGAGGACAATGGAAATTTGATAAATATTGCTGTTGAAAAGGAAAAATGTGAAGGAATTCAGGCTCAATTCGAGGCCATTGCCTCCACCATTCGAAACAGAAAGGTTGTGATTGGAAACGATGTAGAAAAGTGGAAAGAGTACATCAAAAGGCTTGAAAAAATGTCTGATTGGGTTCAGTCACGAAAGGATCTTATGAATTCGGAAAAGCCGAAGGACAAGCAGTTAATCGAAAGACAAAAACAGCAGTTGGAGGTTCTTTGCGATTCTTTAAACTAATATGCTTATAAATTTTATATTTGGTTTTTTCATGGTGTTGGTTGTCGAAGAGAGTTTTGGTTGTCACTGCGTTTCATCGCTGTAGAAGCAGCTGTTTTCATGAATGAGAGAGAATTCAAGGGTTTTACATGCTAATCTATTAATATTCAACAGTGTCTGCATTCCTCACTGTCAGTTTAACGCGTTTTTCATAACCTTTCCCTTGTGTCCTACAAGATGTTCCTACAACTTAACAAACGAACACGCCTATTGCAGGGCCACCTTTTTCATTAAGTGTCAAAAAATTTCCGTGATTACATAGGGATCCCGTGCTTTTTCATTTCAAGGTAGTGATTTTGCGTTTTTTCTTCATTAGGTAAGGTTCTCGCGCTTTTCATTATTTGATAGGGACCCTGCGCTTTTTCATTATTTGATAGGGACCCTGCGCTTTTTCATTATTTGATATTTCAGTATAAGGTAGATACCTCGTGCATTTTCACTATTAGTCTTCCATTTCCACATATCAAGAACCTCATCTTCAGGGCTTTTCTGCTTTTCGATTCTCAACCACCTTTTCACTGATCACTAGGGTTTGCAGCATGACCTAGCAACGAGGCGGAAAGAGTTTGAAAATCTAGTGAGCGAAGGCTGGAGCTCATTTGCATCATCGTCAGAAAGTGATGGAAGCAGTGACCTAGCGGACCGATTAAAAAGCATGACTGGTAAGAAGGCTTTAATTAGAATTGAAAAGCCGCTTTGTTTGATATCCAAGGCTTAATTTTTATTTCTCTTTGACGATCAAATTTAATTCCTGCAGGTTTTGGAATCCAAAATCAATTATTTGGAAAAAATGTCGAAAAAGATGGCGAAACGACCAGTTTTTATCCCAACCTAGCCTTTGAATAGGATGCGAATTTAGACTGCCGAATTTTCATGTACCTTCTGGAGTTTGGGCTGAAATTATTTTATTTTGATTGAATTTCTCCAATCAAATTGTTTTCACTTTCTTTCATGCTTCAGGAACATGGGATGAGATGTCACGATGGGCGGCTGGTCGGTATCAGCTGCTGGTTTTGTCAACTCATTACCAGGACTCTTCAGAACAGCTTGCTGAATATATCAACAAGATCGAGAGGAAAATATCGCTATCGTCCGAAGATATCCCGGAATGCATTGTGGAAAAGATCAGGGCTCAGTCTGCCAAGGCCAGGGTAAATATTAAATTGTTTTCATTTCCGATTGGCCTCCAGTAGATTATTTTGCATGTTTGTTAAGATTATTTAGACAGCACTACCTTATCTTTGTTAGATACTGTTTTGTACGAATATAAGGTTGAAAAGGGTGGAAAAATTGCTTTTTCAGATCCTTGACCGGCAGGCTTCGTTCTGTGCAAGCCAGTTTATTGTATCTCATAATTATGAAGAGACTGAAATCGATTTGATTGATTTATCGTTTTTTAAGCAAAGGCATCTTACTTTAGACACCAGACACCAGAGGACACCAATTTCTTTAAGGTCAATAAGAACACTTGAAAATCAATGATTATTCAATTATTAGTTAGTTTATCGCATGTTACAGTCATTGTTTATGAACTTCGATTGATAAGCGCATTTTACAGTCATCATTTATAAACAATGTTAGAGATATTTTGTTCGCAAAATGTTGCTTGTGTGAAAAACTTTGAGATTGTCTATGAAGGAGATGATCGAGAGCTGGCACGAAGAGTGTCAAGAGCTTGATGTAACGTTTAAAGATGGCAGACTGGTACTGTCGCAAAGTTCCGAAATGCCAGAAACATCTTTCGAAGAGCAATTGGGTGGCCTAAATAGGAAATGGTCAGAGATGGTAGTTGGTGTGGAAAATCGGAAGAAGAAAGCGGAGATGATAGCGAAAAATTGGTGGGAGTTTTCAAAATCGAAGCTTAGGATGTTGAAATGGATGGAGAAGAAAGAAATGGACTTGAATCAGGAGGACATTGGAGGAGGCGGGTTAGAAAATGCTGTTGATATGGAAAGGAAGTTAACTGTGAGTACACTTGGTAGTGATGTAGCGCTTGAAGTTTATATCAATTAGTGTAACCGATTTTTGTTCAAAGTCGTCTTTGCTTTGTTTTTTATGCAATTATTTTTCATATTATTTTATATCGCGAGGTTTTGTTTGTACGTGTTTATTTTAAGTTTTATCATCTTTAGGTGTAGAGAGTATTTATGAATGACTTTCTAGGCTCTATTTGTTTTTCATCAAGTTTTTATCTTGGAATGTTTTACTGTTATTACAGATTTTGTCAGGATCTACTTAGGAATTCCTTTGTCATCTGAAAAAGATGGCTCTTTGTGTTCAGGCCTGCCTCTAGGCTCTAGGCGTAATCGATAAGATTGTTTCCATGTGAAACATGCTTGGTAAATGTCATCTTCCTTTAGGATATGGTCGAGAGAATAAACTCGCGTAAAACCGACATCAATAATTTATTGAGTAAAGCAAGAGAACTGGCAGGAGAAGATGCAAGTTTGCTTGAAGACGTAAATGAACGCTTTAGCAATTTGCAATCGTTAGCGTCGAAGAAGCGTGAACAATTTGAAAAGCTGATCAATAGATGGAGACGAATGACCGAGCAACGAAAGAAAATGATTGGGGTCTTAAAGACAACTCAATTTGTTGCCAGCAGGAGGCCAATCAAAACTTCAAAAGATGCAAGAGGAGAATTAAGTGAACTGGAGGTTGGTGGGAAAAATATATTTTTTTCTCATTGTTTTGCATTGATCGTAGTCTTCCGTTAAATGAAGAAGTCGAAAACTATTTTTTAATGATGACATTCGTTTATTATTTAGTTTACTGTTTACATTACAGTTCTTCGCTTAATCTTTGTGTTGTTTTGCTTATGTCAAGATTGCATCCTTGGATATCCAAGCCATCAAAGGGTACAACCAGGATGAAGATTTCAACGAAGAATCTTTAGTTAATGATTTTGAGAATGTGGTAGGTTTTGATATTGTCGCCGAAGCTAAAGAATTCGCAAATATCCAAAAGAAGGTGCAGGAAGTGATCACCAGTGTCGAAGAAAAAGCTCAGGTTTTAGGACATGTTGCGGAAAAGCTGGAAGCCATAGAAAAGGAGAAAGATAATTTTGACGAGTGGGCAAAAAATGTTAAGAGAAAATTTGAATGTGGAGAAATCATGGATGACACTATAAAGGTATGCATATGAAAATAAAGAAAAAATACGAGTTGTTTTAAAAGAACATCCTGTTGGTGAATGTATATGCGGAGGCAGATGCTATATAGCCAGCAATTGGTCAATGTATGTATGCTAAGGCGGTCAAACTGTAGGCACTGCTACTGCTTGTCGTTTAACATATTTGCAGTATTAACTACTGACCCCTTGTGTACGTTTATTTGCCTGGCCATTTTTGTCTTGACCCATATTTTCTTAGAAACTGTAAAAGGCTGTTGAAAGCCCAAATGAGCATACTTCCTTCATAACTTAGGGTCAATTGGATTCCAAGCTGAAGTCAATTGAGTCTGTAGACAAGAATGCTGCAAAACTGCTAACGGGAAGATCTTTGTCTGTTGAAATTGATCCTGAGTTGGTAGAAGGAATGATATCCCAGATGCATTCCGAGATAGAGGAAATAAAGGAGCTTGCTAGTTTCCAGGCCACTCAAGAAAAAGGCGACTCGATTGCAGAGCCGTTACAGTCGCCCTTCTCACATCTTAGCAGTTTGCTGACTGATGTCAGAGCAACGCTTCCAGACCTGGCCTATAATGTGAATGACACTCGAGATGATGCACAAAACAAATTGAATCTTCTTCAGGTAGACACATTGACTAATGTTGTTTGTAGTTGTGAGTGTATCGGTCGAAGCCTGTAATTGGTATTCTGGAAAAACAGTGCAACGATCGTGGCTTCCCTGTTCTGTTGCTTCGTCCTTTTATCATCGGAACACCTTACATTTTCTGTAGTACTCACATCTCGACCGCACATCTTTACTTGTTAAGTTTGTCCACATTTACAAAGAGCTCGGTTATTCTGTTGTTTGGTTTATTCTGTTGCAGACTGCTTTGATGCGATGCTATTCTGCAAGAATTTTGCCTTTTTGTTGCTACCTTTTAAAGTTTATGTTGAAGAATTCACTCAGACTCATTTGTGTGCTAGGAATCACTTTTAAAAGTTGAAGAGGAGGTTGACAAGCTTGAGCACGATAGCAGAGAAGACGAGGAGAAGGAGGAGCTGGAGAGAAGAACTGCGCAGCAACTGCGGGAGGAGTTGGTCGTTCAGCGTAACCAATTGCAAAAGTTTGTTTCGGCAGTGGATAGTTTTGAGGACAGTGTTTGTGAATGGAATGAGTTTTTGCAGGAGGCGGAAAAAGAGCTCTCAAATTGTCAGAAGGGTCCAAAAAGTGTTGAAGAACTGGAGGAAAACTACGAACGACTGCAGGTAATCGAATCAGTTTTCATCATTTGTTTTTTCACGTTTTGGTTTATAAATTGAGATTGGTTTCTTCGTTATTTAGCTGTCTTTATAAAGTGTATTGGCCAAGTAAATGCACTGTCAAAAGAACACATTTTGGCAAAAGAAACTTAAGAAATGAATGAGTCTGGTCAATATTTTTTCTTTATTGACTTATTTCTTAATGGTTTTGTCTACAGGGTCTTCTAGACGACATGGAGAAAAACGATCGAATGATTGGTGATGTTTACGATAAAGGAGATGAGTTGCTGCAGAAAGCATCTGGGGATATGAAGGTGCCATAATTTTAGCCATAGCTTTTCAAATTTATCTTGTATATAATCTTTCTCTTTTTCATGTAGGCTCATATTTTAAGTTATTTTGCGTGAAAGTTTTTTTAGGTCTCTCTGTGCAACGTTGTCAGATTTACCAGTTTTGTGAGTCAATTTTGATGAAATGTATAATTTTCTTCTTTACTGTAGACTGAACTCGAGAGAAGGCTTGAAAAAATCGAGCATGATTGGGCAGCGTTCTGCGAGACAGCCGCTGGGGCCAAATCAAAGATAGAAGAGGATCTTGGCAAGTGGAAAGATTTTGAAAAAGAGTGCAGGAAGTTGATTTTGTTTTTCACTGAATCAAAAAGCCAGCTATGTATGAATGCAAAGTTCGACTTGCAAGGGACAAGCATCGAAAAGAAAAAAATATTGGTATGTTTGGCAAACGCAAACGAATTTTCTTTATTCTTAAGTTCATTAACTGTTACGTTTGCGATCTGTCTTGTATTTGCTGGCAATTCCTTTTCACGATTTACCTGTAAAATTTTATGCTCTTTGTCTCATGATATCGAACATTCAGCCGCGTTGTGCATTCTAAAGTATACTGTATTTTTACGCCCCTTTTTGAATGGATTCTCCTTTTAAATTTCTGACAGGGTCTAAAGAAACAGCAAAGCCAGAAAGAGAGGCAAGTTAAAGTTATTGAGAATCAAGCTTTGCTGTTAAAAGAACACCATTTTCAGGCCACCAGTATCGTGGTCATGATGGAAAACGTGTTAGAGGCAAAGCGAATGTTTGACGATGCCGTCAAAAGACGCGAGAAAGTACTCAACACAGTCATCAGCTTGAATGACGAGCTTCAAAAAAATATGAAATTCCTTGCAGAATTGATTCAAAAACTGGAGAACGATTTATCTGTTGACGGTCAAGCAATTGAATCGGGCCCTGAAGGACTGAAAAAAGCTGCTGACTTGGCCGAGGTATTAACAATTTAGTTTACAAATATAAAAGAACCCATGGCCGGACATGTTTGTTAGAAGTACGCTTTTTCTCGAAATGAAATTAACCACACTTGTGATATCGTCTCACTTCCTTCGAAAGCCTTGGAATTTTTTTGACTGAATAATCCAAAACTTTTGCAAATTTAGACATTCAAACTAGCTGTTTGAACTGTGCAATCTTAAGATTATGTTCAAGGTTAGGCTTTTACACCTATAAGAATGATAGTTGAACTACAACTGCCAGAAATCATTAGCGATCTGGTTCTCGTCGAAAGAAGACATCGATCAAGAATAGGACCTATGATCTAACTGGTTTCTTGCTGTAGTTTAACTTTGTTTGTTTGTATTTTTAGGCCTTAATGGATGAGCATCTGTCTTGCTCCTCTAAACTTTTAAGTGCAAAGCAACTGTTGGAATTAATCAGCCAGAGCCTTACCGATGCTAGTAAGAAGAAATTAAACGAAGAAGTCTCTTCCTTGGAAAATAATTGGCACAAACTTGGAGAAGAAATCTCGTCAAAGGAACATGAGATGAAAAAGATATGTGGAGAGGCAAACACCATCTTGGATTTAGTATCAGAATGCAATGGAAGGTTGGGCGATTTGGAATCCGGTTTAAATAAAATAAATGTGAATTATTCTGATGATTTGCAGAACGTCGAACTCATCCAAAAACAGTTATCTGTGAGTATACCTTTTTCTTTTTTTCCTGTAAGACTGAGCTGTCATGTAGCCTGTGTCTCCCAAAAGCCCCTAGGGCAGAGTATAATTGTCCACGTGGGCCCAGTGTAAGTCGATTGCCTGTATACCAGTCTAGGCCCATATGCTATTTTGAAGAATGGATCTGGTAGCCAAGACCCTCTCCTCAAAGTTTGGGCCAGACTTATAATTTATTGGAGTGATTGTCACTGTTGTAGTTTATTTTTGATTTTCAAAATTAGATTTCTGTCTTTCTTTTTATCGTCATAAAATGCAGTGTCTTGATCCTCCCCAACCTAGATTATTGTTGCAAGATATCTTACTGCTGAGATTTCCTATACCTTAACGCTATTCAATTGATTGTAGGATATCAAAGAGGACTTGGATTCTGTTGGCCACGCTCACGATTTGATACGTGATGAAATCGATTCTGCAAAGCTTCCAATAGTTGCTGTGAGATTTTTAAAAGAGAAGCTCAACGATTCTTTGAAACTTAGGGGACGACTGATTTTAAAATCATCTCAAGCACAAACTGAGCTTGAAGATAAGGCAGTAGATGATCAAACAGGCGTCGAGGCGCATTTGAACGGCTGCCTGGAGTGGCTTAGAGAACTTAGTGGCATTTTGAGCGAAGATGGCAAATTTTGTGACTCTGACAAGACAGTGGAGGATCAAAAGAAGAGGCTTGCGGTAAAGCGAATATTTGTTGGCTTTTTGACTGTTTAAGTAATGTATTATGTTTGCAATATATTGTTCTTTTTCTGTCAGCCTTGAAGTGTGAATTGAGACTTTGCAGGTGCCTTAGATGTAGACAATAGATGTAGATGTAGACTATTCTCAAACACTGTCGTAATTTGAAATCTTGAATCGTAGGCATTGAAGTCTGAGTTGAAATTAAAAGAGGGCATCATGATGAAGCTATTTTCTGGCAAGTTCAATGTCGACAACAATGTGAAGGAGCTTCAAGGTATTGTTGAAAAGGAATTGACAACTCTGAAAAACGCAATTAGCGAAAAGGAGGCAGATCTCCAAAGCGTTGGTGATAGGAAGAATTCTTGTCACGAGGAAGTTAAAAAGTTAATGAAATGGCTCAAAGCAACGGTCAATGAACTTCCGGACGTACAAAAAGAGTCAATGGAGGACAGCCTCGCTTTCACTCTTAACATTCTGAAGTCAGTGGAAGAAAAGAAACATTGGCTTGCGTCAATAAGTGAGAAGTGCAAAGAAATTGGCAGGGAATTGCCAAAAACCGAACAGATTCTGCTGGAAGGGAAACTTTATGAACTTGAAACGTTTTATGAAGAGTTCGAAAGACAGACAGAACAGCTTCTGAGCGAATTGGAGGAGAAAAAGAATGAAAGAAAAAGAGTAAGTAGCTGTTAATTGAAAGTTTGCTCTATCTTTTGGTAAAAATTTCAATATAGATGCGCTTGTGACTTGCTTACATGAAGCATCAGGAATTCTCTGTTGTAGCAGCTGGATTTGGGAGAAACTATGGGGCGAGGGGATCCGCTCTTAAATCAATAATATGGTATAAGCTATTTGTGAAAGCATAACAAAAGTAATTACTTTGATCTGAAAGCCCCATTTTGTGGCACTTTTTTTCGTTTTTTCAATTTTGAATCAATCGTTTCCTGCTGGAGTCTGCGATTGCGCAAGCATTTTTCTATTCGTTGATCACGCTGGGTTAAATATATGAGTTTAAGTCCTTTTTTTATGAACTAAATAATCCTGTATCGCACACTTAATCGAATATAATGTTACTGAACAATCTGTGCTATCACTTGTATCGAAAATAAATAACACGTTGGGTATAATCGCTCTTGGAATGAATGGGGAATTTTTAGGGGGATATAATATTTGAGTCAAAAGTAGCTGTTCGATGCATTCAGTGTTTTGCTCGGTGTTTCTTTAAGGTTGACGAGGACGTGGATGATTGCCTTGCGTGGGTCCAAAAGGCTGAAGTTGTATTTAGCAGTGATTTAACCTCAATAACAGACGAGGATGCTATGATGGAAGCATTCGGAAAGCATGAGGCCATGTATCGGGAAATGGATCAGCGCAAAGACCGAATCGAGACTGTTCTAAGATGCGGCAGTAGCATGCTTGATGTTTTTCCATCGGCAGACAAAGGAAGCATGAAAGAGAGGCTAGATCATTTGCTCAAGAAGTGGAGCAACCTAAGTGAGCGGGCTTCTTCCAAAGAGTCGAACTTTGACAACTTTGTATCAGACCAGGAATTCTTTTATGAAAATTTGGAGGGCTTCATTGAATGGATGCAGAAGCTAGGCTGCATGATTTCCGAGGACATAGACGAAGAAGCGGGAAAATCTGTTTTAAATAATTGTTTACTTGAACATAGGGATCTTTGTGGGGACATTAAAGGTCACAAAAAGATGTACGAGAAATTGATCGAAAACGGTAACAAGATTCTGGAAGGATTACCGGTAGAGAGGAAAGCATCATTTGATGGGCATCTGCGCAGGCTAAAGTCAGGATGGGAAAATCTAGTCGATGTTGCCATTGAGAAAGAGCAGGACTTGGCATTGCTTGCAGGTGATGCGGAACAGTCTGCTTTGTCGAAGCAAGATGGCGTGGCAAGAGACAAACAGCAGGAAATTGATAGTATCCTTTCTGAACTGGGTGTTATTGCCGATGGACTAAAGAAGGTAAGAGTAGATGTAGCTTGTATGCCTTGTCAAGGCACGGTTTCTGAGCTGATGCAGAATCACTTGGCAATGTGCCTGCAGTCGGATGCAGAGATGGAGAAGTTGGATGCATTGGTTGCCAAAGCTGCTAAGTTGCCACAAGGCAACGAGGATCGAATAAAAATCGACTGCAGAGTAGAAGAACTACAAGAAGAATGGCAAGCTCTTGTCGAAGGGCTACACAGGGAGCGATCCGATTTAGAGAAAGCTGTAGAATTAGAGAGGACTGTTGAAGAATTGTCAGATCAATTTGAGGCGATGGATGGCAAGGAAAACGATGAAAATGGAGAATTAGGACTGGTTGATCAATTAGGCGGCAGTTTAGAAGATCTTTCGATCTTGATTGACAAAAACATGTCCCTACAAGATAAGGTTTTGGGGTTGCCTGAAAAAAAATATGGCCAGGTTAAGAGAAATTTGTTATCCAAAGTCGAAGGTTTGATAAAGAAAGCCGAAGTGAGAAAGCAAAAAGTTAAAGGAAAGATCGATTCAATTTTTGAGATCAACTCGCTTAAACAAGAAGCTGAAGGAATTTTGTTTGAAGTGGCGAGTTTGAATGAAACTGAGTTAGAAAAGGATGCAAATGCTAACGAGAATGAGGATAAAATAAAAACAATATCTGGATCAATTGTGGCTCGTCAAAGTTTGTTGGAGAAAAGTATAAGGTTGAAGTTGAAGCTTGAGGACAGCGGAGAACACGGTGCTGTTGCAGACTATGTTAGACACTTTGAAGACATAGAAAGTAAGCTTACAGCAGAATTAGAAAAGGACGAGAGAAAACTGGTCGACATGAAGACGTCAAAGCGACTTAGAGATGACGTATTTGAAGATTTTGGTGATTTAAAAATTGAAGGGCGACTTAAAGAGTTGGGTGACAGTTTGCCTTTGTGTGGAGATGTCTTACAATTGCAAAGTGCAGTACATAAGACAGAAGGAATTAGAAACGATTTAGAAGAGCTTAGAAGAAAGGCGGAGGAAATTAGAAATTGCTTTGAGCAAAATGATGATGCTGAATTGGAGGGGCTCCTGGAAACCATCAGTCAATTAGAGAAGCATGCAGAATTGATAGCGAAAACTGCCAAAAATGGTTCAACTATAGTTGAAAAGTCGAGCACACTAGGAATGAAATTTGCAGCTTTGGAAAATGATTTGCTTTCATTTGAAGCCTCTCATAATCTGAGGGAACGGAGTATCTTGCTACGTAGCGTTGAAAAAGAAATTCTTGACGATGTTAAGGAACTAAGGAAAGAAGCAACTGAAATGCAAGATGACCGACTAAAAATGTTCCCTCCGCTTGATGATTTCCAAATGAATTTGGTTGCATCCAAAATAAAGGTAGCAGAGGAAATTGAATCGGAGTTATGCAGGATTAAGACGTACTTAGAGAAGAAAAAAAGAATGGAATCAATCGAAAAGGCCCTACTGTCTTTCCAGCAAGTTGCAACTGATCCAATGACGACCCTTGAGAATGCAAGGGAATCTGCTGTAAAGGCCCTAAGTGAAATTGAGAATCTGGAAACTGAATTAGATGTTATAAGTAAAAGCGGTTTTGCAGAGGAGAATGGATCTGAGCATGCAGCGGGACATAAGGTTGAAATAAAGAGATTACTATCATTTTGCCAGGATAATAAGAGAAAGATAAGTGGCAAAATACAGTTGGTTGAAGAAGCCACCCAAAGAAAGTTTGACCTAGAGAATTTCCTTGATGAGTGCGAAAGTTTGGCTGATACTTCAAACGCTGGCGGTAAATTTGCGACAATGGAACAGCTGTTAAAACGTATAGAACAGATTAAAGTGGAGAGCGAAGCTTCTGTGAAAAAATTAGAGCAAATGGACAAGGATTTGTCAGAAAGATTTTGTCAGCTAGGAAAAACAGATGAAAATATAGCGGGAAAAACGACGAGGGTAATTGAGGCACTACAGAAGAAAACATTGTTTTATGCTACCACAGAGAAACTAGCACATGACTATATCGACTTGGCAAATGTAATAAAAAGGGATCTTGAGAATCTCCACGTACCGGGGCTCGATGAATCTTATAAAATTGAAGATGCTGAAGTGAAAGCTGAAGATTACAAAACAAAGATAGAAGATGTTAGAAAAAAGATAGTGGCTTTAAGCGAACTCGCTAATGTGATTTACGAACAATTAGAAGGAACGGAAATAGATATTCAGAAAGAGATGGATGAGCTTCAGAGGGAAGTTGAATTGAAAGAAGATCTAGCAGTGTCCTTTAACCTGGACCTTGCAAATGCTAAGAAGAATGTTTGTCGTAACAACGTTGGCTGTGAAGAATTATTTGATTGTTTTAAGGATGCAAACGAGGCCTTTGAAAGAGGGTTGACAAATACAAAATCACATGTAGCCTTGTCGCAGCACATTAACGGTTTTATTTCAGATATTGATTCTCTTGATGCAAAAGTTGTTTGTTTATCAAATGACTTGGCAAACTCAAGTACACAAATGCCCGCTTATGAAAAAGAACTACAAGGTGAGAAGATCAGCCATTTAAAGGCGAAGGTAAACGCAGCCAGAAGTCGAGTTTCTAACCTACAGAAAGATATTTCGATCATAAACGATAAAATTGCAGATAATGAAAGCTCTATGGTATATATCGAGAAATGGATGGATAACGTGGCCTCAATTTTACGAGAAGAAAACATGAAAGATGTTGGTAAGGAGCTCGGTGAACTTGAGAAGGTTGAAAATGAGTTTGATGCGACCGCAGAAAAAGTTCAGAGGATCTGTGAAAACGTCCTGAAATCAAGTAAGTGATGTTCATTTTTGCCATCTTGCAGATAATGCAGTGTATGGTGCTGTCGTGTTAAATTCACCGTATTTCTTTATTTTTTGAGTAATTTCCTCCTCCCTGTTACCCTTCAAGCAAACCCAAAAAGTGGCTTGCCCCTTTTAAATCCTCCGTCGTTCTGATTCAGCGTTTTCACCACCACCAAGATAGAATAAGGGAACTATCATATTCTAACTAAATTGTGTGTTTTGCGGACTTTCTGGCGCTAAATCTTGAAAATTTTGATTCCTATTTAAGCATGAAAGAGAATCTAGCCTCTCTTTGAGAGTGAAAAACAGCATTCAAATGAGCGTCTTTTATCCAACTTTTGAAAAGGCTTAAATACATTTTGCTTGTAGAGTATTTATAGGCCTTTTCATGCCCAATTGGGATGAAGAGTTGAAAAAGTATGCCTCATCTGTTTTGGGGTAAAGTTCTCAGCTCCGAGGTGAGTACAAAAAGCTGTTGTGTAAGTCAGCCAGGGGATCGTTATGGTGAAGATTTTTCATTCAGTAAATAAATCCCATATTAAGTAATGCATTTGTAGCACATCCAGTTGTTCTGTGATTGTGACTCAATCAGAGCAATTTTATTCCAGAAATCACTTTAAAGCTCAAACCTGTCAACAAACACAACATGAGGATTGAGTCGATTTGTGATCGAATGAGCGAAATTCGAAAAAGAATTGATGACAGGAAATTGGCCTTATCTGAGTTTTTCGAAAAGGTTGTGAGCCATGATCGTTTTTGTGCAGACAAGATTAAAGAAATCGAAAATCGGATAATGTCATTGATTGGTGGGGAAGAGGAATCTGTTCATTTGAATTTGCAATCTGAAAAGGATTTAGAAAAGGTGAAGGAAGTGATTGAGTCTTTAGAGAGTATAGAAAAAGCGATTGAGGAAGCTGACGAGTTCATTGCTTGCTCGAACTTGCCAGTCGATAACAAGCACAAAGATGAGCTAGCCATGGCTGCAATAAATCTGAAAAGGTATAAAGAAATTGCTGCTGAAAGACTGCATTACTTGGAGACATTAGCAACTAACCGTGTCCGCATCAGAAGTGCACTAGAAAGAGCAAGGGAGTTTGTGGAAGTGAAAGCACGTCAGTTGGACACAAGCAGCCAGTTGAGCTTGGAAAGGCAGCTGAGTGAAGTGAACAAATGCTGCCTTGAGATCGAAAATGAGGAAAGAGAACTGTTTTCGCCTATTCATAGAGCAAGAGAAGCCATCACGGAGCTAGATTCTGGTGATGGAGAAAGCTTTGAGGACGAGTTGCTGGAAATGACAGATCTATGGGATGCATTTGAAGACAAAACAAAAGAAATGCAAAGAAAATTGGCGGCTGGCTACGAGGAGAAGCGTAACCTTCTAGATCAACTGACGTCGCTCAAAAAGATGTTAAAAAATGTTCAGCTTGGTATAAGAAATTTCAAAGTAGGTGATTTTGTGTCACTGATTGAAGGCGAGGAGGAAATAAGTCATCTTGTAGATGGATTCCAAAAAAGGCAAGAGAAAATTCGCAAAGTGCTAGACAGAGCTACTGAATTTGTTGCAGCTGGAGTAGAGGGAGATGTGAGTGAGACACCGCAAATCCAGGAAGAGGCTAAAAGTCTTAATAACCAGATACGATTTGAATTGCAGGAGAAGGAGCATGCAGTGGAGCAACTGAAAAGGAGGTTTTCCACTGTAAACAAAGTATCTGAAGAGAAGTGCGTTTTTATGCATGCATTGTGTGATCGCCTGAGGGATGTAGAGATAACTGAGTTTAATCTGAGTAATGTGGTAAAAGACTTAGATAAGATAGATTCAACTGTTGGAGAGGTTGACAAGGAAGTGAAAGCCCTCTGTGAAAATTTATCGTCTCTGAAGACGGAACTACCCGAAGTAGAATCAGAAAAGTGTAGCGCCTTGAAAATGGAGCTGGAAGAAGGTTTGCATGTACTTCAGTCACTTGCAACTGACACACACGACAGGTACACTGATATTGAACAAGAAGCAGCTGCAAAAGTGACAAAAATGACGACCATTTGTCAGCAACTGACAGAGTTGCAGAAAACACTTTCAGAAGATAAAAGTTGCATTGATCTTGATATGATGAACAGAACATTGTCTGATCACGAGAGAACTTTCGCCAGCATCATTGAACAAACAGAGTCACTGCCCAAGCTTAGTGACAGTATTTCTTCCGATGGTTGCATCGACAATCGGGATGACGTCAGCCGAATGTTGCAGGAAGTTTCCAAAATGAAAGAATTAGTGTCTTCAGGAATTTCGAATAAAAGGCGAGAGTTGCGAAATGCTAATGAACGCAAAGTGAAGTTTGAAAATGAGCTCGGCAAGGCGTTAAGTGACCTTGAAGAGATCGAAGATTCAACTTTGTCGCCAGTTGGCGAAATAAAGTTACAATCGAGGTTAGAGTATTTGGGAAAAATGTTGAATAAACTTGACGATAGTGATAGTCGTCTTGCAAACGAGATGGAAAATGGAGGCCTGTTTTCTTTGCTGCCTGTTACGAATGTTGAAGAAAACAGAGGGCGAATGGCTATGTTCCAGGAACGCTCCCAAGCTTGCAGGCAGGAAATCGAGTCACAGATGAAATTCATCACTGAAAAGTTGAAGACCAAGCATAACACTGAACTGGAACTCCGTCGCTGTGCTGATGCCATTGAAGAGCTTGAGAAGTTGGATCCAGCAGAGCAGAATGAAACAGAGTTGAATCTACTAAGTGAAAATCTTGAAGAAGTTACAAATAATATTTGTTGTTTAGGCAGTCTTTTAGAAGCAGCTGAAAGAGAGCGGCTTGAGTCGCAGATGGTTGCTGCCAAAAATAGAGTTTCCAAATTTGTCGCATGTTTGCATGGTGATCTTAGCAAAATACCTGAAAAGGAAGAATCCAAATGCATGGAGCAAAGGGATGCGGCCTCTTTTGTCTCAGTAGAAGATGAAATCAAACCCAATGCAATCGCATTTGTTGAAAGCTATGTGAATGTTAATGACAGCGACAGTGATTTCTGCGACCTCGAGGCTGTTCCTATCCATAATTCTGGGCCGGATACCATTGATTTGAAAGATGACGACAAAGGAAAAGCGTGCGTTTTAGATGATTATAGGAAGCGTGTGGAAAGCCATGCGATGCAGGTTGAGAAATTGAGGGCAATGTATGACGGTCCTTCAAGCAATATTGGTCTCGAAGATAGCATTTCCAATGTCTCAGATTCTATCGAGTCAATTTCGTTGGTTCTAGAAGACATTCCCCGTCTGTACATGGAGTTAGATGAGTTTGGAAGCAAAGTTTCTGTTGATCAGGTTTCAGCACTAGGTGAATCTGTGAGGTCTCTCGAGCAGGCTTGCAACGCGACGATGGGAAGCTTTATTGTTAAACGTGATGACGCAAGCGAATTGCTTGCGAGAATCAACAAATACCAGAGTGAGATGGAAGAGTTTAGTGAAAAGCTGCAGCAAATCACAGAAATAGCAAAACATTGCATCAGTGCAGATGGCGATATCAGTTTTAGCCAGCAATCAATCGACGAAGCCCGCGAGATTATTGGTAAGGCAGAGAGCGTCTTAAGGGGAACGGAGCGCAATTTACTAGAAAAAGCTCCACTGGAGGTCAGTGACATGTTGCGCCGAAAGGAAACTATATTTAGCGAGAAAATTGGATTTGCAAAACTATCTGTAGAGCAACTAGAAGCCGGTATTGAAATGCACAACAAGCTGTTGGAGTTTCGCAATATGCAGATTATGATAGATAAATATAGAAGGGATCTAGATGATATGAAAGAACACGGCATGACAGCTGAGAAAGCGAAGGAGATTCAAGATATCATTAACACGGTGTCACACTATGAAGAAAAAGCGGAGACTTTGAAGGGTTGTTGCGAAAACGTTTTGTTATTGTGTAAGGAAGATGGTTTGAAAGATACTGTTGCAACTGTCTTCAAAACATTAAAAAAATCAAGTGAAAGTTTGAAAGCTGAGGCAGAAACCACCCGAAAGTCTATCGAGTTATTTTTAGATCTTGCGAAAAAAGTAAAAGATCTGAATGTTTTTGTAGAATATGCAGACCAGCGCAGTGACAGTATTCTAATGGAAAGTGACATAGGGACGGTTATTAAACTCATTAGCGATTCCATTCAGGAAATAAGCAATGTCTCCGAAAGCCTTCCACGGATTTATAAAGACCTGGCGGATGTGTCAAGTGATTTGAGGCCAGAGCAAATTGATGCTCTGAAGAACAATGTTGATGCTGTGGCAGCCACTTGCTTGAAGACACGGCAGAAACTCGCGGCTAAAGCGGAAAAGGTGGAGCAAATCGAGACAGCGAGGGAGCATCTGCGCAATGAAATTGAAGATGTGCGGGAGGAGCTTGGCTCGTTTGATGGGAAACTCAATGATTTGATAGAAGTAGAGGATTTGAATGATATTCACGATTTCTTGAGTGTACAGGAAATGAAATTTCGAGAAATGCAGGAAAATGTAAATCGAGCCACAGACTCTTTAGCTCAATGTCTAGAAGGATCCATTGGAAGTGACGAAGTAACAATGGCTGAACGGGAAGCTGAAAGTCTGAGGGCAAATGTTGCTGAACGTGCCAGTGAAGTAGTTAGGTTGAGAAATTTTGTCAATCAAGCTATTGACACCGTGAACAAAGTTGAAGGGCGGTTTCCAGTTATTCCTGAACAAGATCTAGAAAACCTCAAGCACGCCATTGAACAAAATGAAACAGATTCAAAAGATGAAATTGAAAACCGAACTGTTTTGCTAAGAAAAGATTTTAATGAATTGTCGGAGCGCTTTCATGAATACGAGAACATGGATGAAATACCCGAATATTTGAATATGGAAAATATGTCTACTGAAAGCCCTGGCTCTTTGAGAAACCCCTTCAAAAATATATCTGAAAAATGCAGGAATCAGGTTTTGAAGGCAAAAGAAAAGCAAAAAAAGATTTTACAGTCACGCTTGGTTGTGCTGGAAGTAACAGAAAATGCCTTTGAAGATGAAGGGACCCTGGAAAATGTGGTTTTATCTTGTTCAGAAACAGATTTGCATAAAAACCTGAGCTCAAGGGTGGAAGAATTTGACCGGCAAAAGCAGATCATTGGAGAAATTAAAAAGAGGTCAGCTGATTCCGTTCAGAGACTGGATGCACTTTCAAATTCAAATCCGGAGATACATGTTTTGAGGGAAAGGTGTTTAGCTGTTAATTGTAAATGCAATGAGATAGAGAAAAACCTGCACGAAGAAAGCAAAAGAGCAATCTCGTTGAAAGAAATGGTTAAAAAACGATTGGAAAGCCTAGATGTTATCGTGAATGAAATCGAAGCAGTTAAAATTGCTGAATGTAGTGTTGATCTCTTGAGTGCTGAAAATTTAAAAACGAGTCTTTTGAAATGCAAAGAGAGGTTAACGGGTATGGAAAACATCAAATCGAAGCTACAAGATGTTACTACACAATGTCAAGAAATGTGTAAGCAACTTTCTGAAGAGGAAAGGGATCAAATTGCCAAGAGGCTTGAAGAAGCATTAGGTAGTGCCTGTCAATTGGAATTCAATGCTAGGAAAGAAGTAAGCGAAGGGGAAACACTCGAAAAAGCCTTTGTATTGATTGAAGAACTGGGAATTTTAGAGAAAGGGATTGTGAATGCGTGTAAAGATTTGAGAGAAAATAGGGTGCAGATTAAACCCGAAATTTTGCAATCTTTCGAGAAAACACTTTTAGAAAAAGGTGTGGAAATTGGGAACGTTTTAGAAAAAGTGGCAGATGATTGTAACAATGGTTGCAATGATGTAATCACAAGACTTGCTAAAGAAAAAGTTAGAGTTCATGATGTTATGGAAGAAATGAAAGAACTCAATAATCAGATAAAAGAAGGTGACAAAAAACTTAAGGAGTTGAAAGAAAGTGTCTGCAGTTTGACTGAAGTTAAAGTCGATTTACCTTTAACAGAACTTGACTTGAATGAACGTTTTCAAGAGCTAAAAAGAGTCACTGAGGAGAAGAAAAATCGAAAAAGTAAGGCCGAAGTATTTAGAAATGAGTTGGAAGAAATGCAAGAGAAAGTTCCAGTCGAAGTTTATGCAGATTTGAATAAGGAATTGTTAGAAATTGAGCAGGATTGTAAAGAAGAAGTCGACAGCTATCTGGCAAAGGTAGAACTTTGTCAAGCTGATGTGAGCTGCCTTGAAAGTTTCAGGGACCAAATTGATTCGTTAAGATCAAAGCTGCCAGATTTTGTATCGAAACTGCCGGTGACTTATTCACAGGAACGGTTGAAAGATATTTTGAATGGAATCACTGACGATGAAAACTCATTGGCGAAATTCGATGAACTGTTAGAAGAAAGTTTTAGTTCCAATATTGTCGATATATTGGATCATTTGTCAGAAAGGGAAAAGAATGAGGTTTTAAAGATGAAGGACAGCTTGAAAAATGATATAAACGAAGTCAGGACGGATATTGTTTTATATGCAAAGGAACAATTTGCATCTAGAGCTGAACTTTTCAAAGAACTTGAAGAATTGCAGGATTATGTACAAGAGATATTTGCAGAGGTCGAGTCATTCATATTTTCTGGGAATCAAGATAAGATTATATCCATAACAGAAGAATTCAAATCAAAGGAAAATGGTTTGCGAGAAAGTTTGAAGAGAATTAGGGAGCAACTCAAGAATGATCAGTCTTTGAACCCTGAAGAGAAAAGTGACACATTACAGTCTATTGCATCAAGTGAAGGGAAGATAGATGGCGTGTTAGAAAAATCAAGAGCGATTTCGAATTGCATAGAAGTAGTAAAGGAAATTAGAGATTTTGGAGATGAACGGTACAGTCTTGCCGAAGCAAAGGATCTGCTGGAATTATCCTTTGAAGAGAAAGAAGCTGTTCTTCAGGATGCTGCTGAGAAAATTTGCATCCAGAAGTCAGTTAGTGTTGAACTTGAGGCAAAGTTTGAAAACTGCAGAAAGCTAATAGATAAATCTATAGCTAAAGAATTGGACGAAAAACTGAGCTCTGTGATAACAGTTTTGAAAAGTAAAGAAGATTTGATATTGTCACAGCTATCCCAAAATCAAGAAACGAGAAACTTTTCTGAGGACTGCCATCATAGCTTAAAACAAGTTTTGGAAAATACTGAAGGAGTTAATCTTCCTGAAATGGGAAGAGAAGTTTTACCAGATGACATTAAAAAGGCTTGTGAAACGCGAGTCCTGTTGAAGGACTTAGAAGGTGACGTGGAAGCAATTTATAAAAACATCTTTGTCCTTAAAGGGAACCTAAATACAAAAGAATGGGAGGAACTTAATGCTTCATGTAACGTTGTACGGGAAAGGATAAAGGAACTGGACTCTGAAAATGAAAGGTGTTTGTCAATTTTTAATGAAAAAATGACAATTAAAAATACCATGGTGGAAATCGCAGATGAAATTGAAGCTGTCGGGTCGATGATTGAATCATTCGATTCAAAGTCTGAAAATGCTTCAGAAGCTCTTTTAGCGGCGAAAGAAAGAATCGAGGAAGCCTTTGAATGTTTGAAGGATTTGTCTGCCGGTGTGAAGAAAAAGGAGTACGATGGGGAGTTTTTGGGAAATACGTTCAAAGATTTAGATTTGCTGGAGGAAAGAATAAACAACGTCCAATGTTCTGCTGAAGAGCAAATCAGTAAATGCAACCAATACAAGGATGTTTTTGATTCTATTAAGGAAAGACTCAAAGTAATTGATAACAAATTTGCTGATATCTGTGAAACTGGACAGGAGAGTACTTCGTTGGATGAACTATTGTCTGAAAAGAAAAGTAACAGCGAGGGTATTAAAAGACTGCTTGATAATGTTATAGATCTACAGACTGAGCTGAGATCAGTCGAGGACAACGTACCTGACAGCGCTGTGCTCAAAGTAAGATCTTCTATAGAAGCGCTGAAGACGAGTCTAGAGGGAAAGTGGAGGTCCTTGGATAAGGAGGCTAATGAGATAACAGAAAATCAGAAGAAAGCGAAAATTGAGAGACAGTTGTATGACGTCAGAGCCAATCTACAAAGTATTAAGCAGCCGGAGACTAATGGTTTGGATGAGAGACAGCTGGAATGTGGATTGAATGCATTGTTAGGAAACATTGACAAGATTGAAGGATTGGAGGAAAAACTTAAATCCATGGTCGAGAAAGAAGTTAGCAGTATTGAAAGTCAAGTCATCAACTCAAGGGTCAACGAAATAGCAAATGACTTAAGTGAAGCTAAGCAAGAAAATACAACCAAAGCACGCGCTATAGAACGCAAAATGGAAATAATTGCGGCTATTGAAGATAGAAAAAGTAGACTAGCTCGGCTTGAGAATGGACTTCAGGGCTTTGAATTTTGCGATTGGGACAACACTGATGATTTACAAGCGTACAAACAGAATATTGCGCAGGAGATAGAGAGTGTCTACGAGCTTCATTCGAGAATTGATGAATTCGCTGATACCGACAACGATGCACAAAGTTTAAAGCAAAATTTAGAGCATATTTCAACCCGTCTACACACTCTAGAAAATGCACTGTATTTAATCGAGCAGGGAAAATCTGTCTATAACAATCTTCAAAATATTCAAAAAGAGGAAATACCAAGCTTTTCGCAATTTGACGAGACATTGCAGGAAGCTACTGACCCTACTAATGATATGTCAATTGCCGATCTTGTTAATGATGGGAAGCGTAAAACCGATATTGTCAACACAAATTTGGAAGTATGCAATCAGTTAGAAAGTGCAATTAAACAGATCCAAGAGCTGCCTTCAAACATCGAGCTTCTGAACACCATAAAATCCCTGAAAGAGATCAAAGAAAAGTGTGTTAATGAAAGAGAACTGCTTTTAGCTCAACTGGACAAATGCGAAGTTGCGCAAGAAATTGCTATGAAGGCCAAGCATTCTATCGAAGCGATTCAAAGTGGCTTGGTCGGTTTCGCTGTGCATGTACCTAATTTATATGAAGTTGAGGAAATCCCAAGCATACTCGAAGACTTTGAGCAGAAGAGACTCACCTTAATTGAAATGAAAAAGGATTTACAGGAAGCAAAGGGGATGATATCGAAATCACCTCTCGCGGATCTACTGACAAAGACTTTTGCTTCAGGCATCGAAGAGTTGGAGAATAAAGTCGCAACGACAGAGCAGGATTTAGATCGTTCAAGTTATCTAGTTTCAGAACGCCAAGATATTTCTAAAAGCCTGCAACAGGTGGCTGCTCGTGTTAGTGAGTTATCAGATGAGGCGCTGGAGAGATCATTCTGGACGTCTTGCATCAAGGACGAGGAAAAAGCACGACAAAAAATGGAAGAGCTGACCTCGCTTCTCGGTTGCTATGGGGACCTGGAGAAGAGATTAGAGACATATAGCGATGATGGGGAAACACATTTGACTGCGGATGACATGAAAAAATTTAAATCTGTTAAGGAGAAGATGTTGTCATTGGAAAACGATATGAAAGAAAAGCAATCTCAGGTAGCTGGCATAAGGGAAACATGCAGAAGAATTGGCAATGCAACTATGGCAAACATAAACAAAATTGCAGAAGTTCGAGGTTTGTGTTTTTTTTATGCCAAGTTCAAAGGGTAAACGTAAGATATGATAAGATTTTGGTCGATTGGGTGTCACAATGTTTTCTTAAAAAAGGGTATAAGTTTGATTTTTTGCCTTAGTGCTTTTGTTTTGTCTTTTTGATATAATTTCTAGGTTTTGTTTTTCATTCTGTTTTTATTTTCTTGACAAACATATTGAATGGTACATAACCTAAAAAATTTTTTTAAACCTCATTTCAATTTTATTGCAGCTATTTCGTCATCCCACTGCGAATGCCCAACCTTTGAAGAGAAGATCAAATCTCTGCAATCACAACTAAAAGAAGCGGAAGTTATTGCAAGAACCGCGAAAGAAGATCTCTCCACGATAAAAGAGCTTGATGGTGATGGCTGGTCACAGATTTCTAAAGAGAACAGTCACATGCTGATGGAACTTGTGTCATTATCTGAGAGGACACAGGCGGAAGTTTTGAATGAATTGGAAAATCAGAGGCGTTATCAAAGTGACGTATCAAATGTGGAGCGAGACCTGGACGAAATAGAGAGAGAAATCTGCGATAAAAACAGCTTGAAAGTGGCGGATGAGGGCAAAGATCCTGAAGAAGCGATACAAGGTGCGCAAAAATGTATTGCACGTTTACAAGTCGCTAAAAGCCAACTGGAGGAGAAGCGGGTGAAACTTGGCAAAGCTAGAGAGAATCTGCCGCCTGAAGAAGCAAAAAGGATTGAGGAAAGAATCAGTAAGGTAGAAAATGAAATCAATTCCAGGCAGAAAAATTTGAGCGAAATAGGTAAGGCGCATGAAGAATATCTGAAATGTAAAGTAGCAACAGAAAATATAGATGATGAACTCAATGATCTGGAGGGACAAATAGTTAGCCACGGGGAATTGCCTATCGCAATTCGATTTGATGCTTTGGAACAACTGTCTAAACAGATAAAGCAACTTGTAGTGGGGTTGGATACTATCCTAGCTGATCGAAGTGGAGAAGATATATCAGTCAAGGTTGAGGGGAAGAAAGATGTATTACAAAAGGCTGCAAACTTGAAACGGCGGCTAGCAGAGCGGGCTGACGAAGTTAATGCCATGAAAAACGAATGTAAGAGGTTTGGAAAAGCTTTTGCTGAGATAAGCAACGATCTTGATGTAATTGAGAAGGCCTTGGAAGAAGAGCCTGTCTTTTCGGTTGAAGAAGGAAACAAATTGTTTGTTGATAGTATATCTGACGCTGAGGGAAAGGTTGAAAACATTGTTACTCTGGAGGAAAAGCTTGGAGAGATTGGTGGAAGGCTGAAAATCGTTGGGGATGTGATTTCCAAAGAAGAGCTGTATGATTGCAGGAAACGGATTGAAAGTTATAGAGATCGTTGCAAAGAATGCAAGCAAGAAGTGAATGAAAGGATTAATGAACTGAAGGAGAGCCAAACGCTTCTAAGGAATTTTCATTTGTATTTAGAAAATTTGATGCGCAAAGTCGCTGGCTACGTAATGGTTGAATGTGCTGGATCTGATGTCGAATCACTGCAGAAAAATTATGAACTGAACGCAAAAATGATCGCTGAATTGGAGCAGCTAGAAAAGGAACTTACGGAAAAAAGCAGCCAATTAGAATCCAAAGCTAATTTTGCAAAGGAAAGAGAGAATCTAGAAAAGCATAAAAGTATTGTTTTGATTGAATTGGCTGAAAAGATCGACGATTTGAAATGTAGGGAATCTTTACTGAACAAAAAGGTATGTAGTCTTGAACGTTTACAATCAAGCAAAATCGACTTGAATGATGTCAGAAGAATCCTTACGGAGGCTCCGCAACATTTTGACTGCGAAAATGTTCAAATTATGTTTGAAGACTGTGATAGGAAATTGACTGGTTGTAAGACTTCGGTATCTGGTGTGGAGGGCATTCTTGTCGACTTAGTAAAGAACAAGGTCGACGCGGAGGAGCTCTTAACGACATGCAGGGAGAGCATCGAGGAAATAAATGTAGTGGAAAGACAAGTTGGAGAAATGAAGCAAAGATATGGGCTGGAGTTAGAAAAGATGAAGGAATTAGAAGATGAAGTTAGTAAAGCAAAGTCTGCAATTGACAAGATTCATCAATTGGAAAGTGAAGAAACTTTGGATCTAGGTCGTGGCATTGAAAGTTTGTATAAAGGGCAAAAAGAAGCAGAAACATCACTCGATTGTTTATCCAAGGCAATAGAACTAGCGGAAGAGATTTCTTTTGCCTCTTTAGATCATGGTGCGAAAAGACTAACAAACATTCTTGTCGAGAAGAAGGGAGAATTGGAGACGTCGTTAGCAAAACTAGAACTAAGGGTTTTAAGTAGAAAGGAGATGAAAGAGAAATTGAGTGATTACAAGCTTAATTTCGTGGAATTAGAAAGATGCATCGAAAAACTTGAAGTGCCCATTGCTACAGATGACCATATAGATGGTCTTACCGGATGTCACCATCAAGCTGAGAGGGCATTGAGAATAACAGAAGATCTTCTTAAAGACTGCGAGAAACTAGCATTAAAACAAAGAGAGTTCCAAAATGAATTACCACCAGAAGAAATTCAAGAGCTCGTTGCTCAGTTACAGGCTGTTGAATTGAAAATTTCCTTAAAGGGGGTAGAACTCCGCAATTCTTGTTTAGCGTCGTTGCGAAAAGTAGAATGTATTCGTAACTTGGAAGTTTTACATGAGAAAATAAGCAAATTACAAAGTGACAGGCCCGGTATTGAAGACCTTAGTACTGGAACACTGCAGGTGATTGTAGAAAAACAGCGAACTATTGACAAAGTTAGAGCAGAAATTGGTGATTTGGAAGCAAGAATGAGTAAGGAGGATTGGAAGATAGATGCTGTTGGTGAAAGGTTGGCGGAGCTTAAACAGTGTCTCGACGTGATAGCTACAGAGGAAAATCAAGATCTTGCAAACGTGTGTCATGTGTTGAAAGGAAGTCTGAAGAATATAAATGAAAACCTCCAGGAGCATGAAAAAGAAAACCTAGAAAAAGAAGAAGACGACGAAGAGGAATTAGAAAATTTGAAGGGTCGTTGTTTAGCAGTAGCAGAGCTTATAAGTGTCACCGCAAACTTGAAGGACATGGCATCAGCTCTGTCAGGAGTTCCTTTTATGGTAGAATTCAGCAACGATTTGCTTGAAGAAGCGGATCTAGTGAGCCAACGACTGACGGGGATGCGCGAAGTTACCAATGAATCATTTTCGAATCTGTCCGATGTGACCACCTTCATTGCAAATTATGAAGAGGACCTGTCGAAATTGTCGCATGAGTTGGACGAGTTGAGAAAAGCGGACGAAGAAGAAGCAACTGTGGACAGCATTGAAGAGATAAAGAGAAATCTGGAGGAAAAGGAGTTTGTTTTGCAGCGTATTGAGGAGGCCTGCGATATGGTTTTTGAGGAGGAAGAAAACTTTTTGACAAGTTTATCGGAAAAACGAAAGATTGAGCTTTTAGACTTCAAAAGGGAATTCTTGGAAGAATTTGAGTTCTTTAAGGGAAAGGTCGAAAATGATTTAGAAAGAGTCATGTCGCTGGAAAATATTTATTTAGCTATGGAAAGTAATGTTGAAAAATTGTCAAAAGAAGTTGAATTGATTTCGATTGAAGTATCAAAAGAAGAAGTTGATGATCCAGCAGAAAGAATGGCATTTTTGAAAGAGAAGCTTGCGATGATAGAAGGAATTGAAGAAAGGATGCAACACATCAAGCAGAAATATCAAGAGTCATTATCAGTTTTGCCGGAAATGGAAGTCAATAATCTCGATGAAATGCTTAAATGTTTGGATAATGATTTTGTTGAAACTGCGACCAAAGTAAATGAAGAAGTAAAATTGTTGAAGGATTGCCAGAAAATTATCTTTGAAGGAGAGAAAAAGATAGAACAGGTGCTTGAAGCATTGCAAGAAGTTGAAGTTGTGATTGATGAAGATGGTAAAGCCAGCCTCGAAACACAGCTAGAGCAGCAAAACTGGATCAGAACGAGGCTTGAAGTTTGCGAAGAAGATGTGAATCGGATTGGTGACATAGACGAGATAAAGAGCTCCTGCCCATCGCTAAGAAGGTATGCGCAGGAGCAATTTGCTGGGCAGCGAGAATTGGTTGGGATTAAGATCATGTCTTTGAAAGAAGCTGCTGGAAAGAAAGCGGAAAATCTAAGCAGCAAACATAATTCGAAACGTGACTGGCGTACAGATGTTGAAAAAACAGAAGCTGATTTACAGGAAATTGAGAATCTGATTGATGAGTTAAAGCTCGAAAGGAAACTTGAAGCTAAATTGGAAGTACCAAGAGAGTTGAAGAAAAGATTGGAAAATGTTAAGAATCAAATTAGAGAAAGTCAAGAAAAACATGGAGCAAGATTGTCGGATAATGAACGGGAGGACATCGAACTTGATATTCAAAGATTACTGCAAAGAGTTGCAGACGCAGAAATTTCAATCGCCCAGCATGAAAACACCTTGACAGATCTTGGTGAGCGAATTTCTGCATTCGCTGCAAAGACTGATTGTTTGAAAGAAGGTATAAAAGATCGAGTGGACAATGTAAGAAATATCCCACATGAATCTTTGAGGAATTCAAAACAAAACTTGGATGATTTAAAAGATTCGCTCCAAAACGCAACCAAAGAATATGAGCTTCTGAAGGTTGACTTCAATTCTTTGGAAGACCAAGTAGAGGTCAAAGCGGAGGTTGATAGAAGCATGCTCAGTCTTGAAATGTGCATCGTGGAAGGCGAGGAAGTAGTCGGTACAGAAAAAGCGAGGTTGGCAAAAACAGAGAAGGCTTTCAGAGAATGGTGTGAAGCAAGTGGATTATTGAGCGAAAATGTAGCCTCTGGAGGGGATATAAGGGTGAGTTCATTTGAAAGGTTGACCGATGCTGCAGTATCAGTTGCCGATGACCTTGCCGTTGTGCAGAAAATGCAGGACAAGTATATGGGGCTGAAAGCACGCCTAGATGATGTAGCCATCGATTTGCCATTGCTTGAAAAAGAATCTGCCAAAGCAACGTTGCATAGCATCAGCGACAAGTTGGAATCACGACAAAAACAGTCCATTGTGAAGAAGCAAGTTCTGGATGTCCTGCAAACAGAGCTGAAAGATATCGAAAAACATTTAATGGTGAATTTAAAATGGATTGCGATCGCAAAAAGGGCCGTCAAAAATGAAAACAAAGGGGCAAAGTGCATGGAAGACCTGGTGAACGAAAGAAATGATCTGGTGTCGCAAATAAGCAGTTTGGACGACGATGTGCAAATTGCAGTTTCGTTTGGAAATTCGCTGTGTGAAAGACTACCGAGACTAGAGAAAGAAAAACTTTCAATTTTGTTGAACAAAATAAGCGAAGATTGGGACCGAGTAAAAAGTGAGTTGGTAGAGAAAAGAACGAAGTTGGACGAGTCAATTACAGAAAGAGACGAAGTTTTAACTGTTTTATCGAGCTGTCTTTTTAGGTTGGAAAACTTGGAGGAGAAGCGTCTTGAACTTGAGGATTTAGACGAGATAGTGAAGGACGAGTTTCTGTTGGAAATCAGACGTGAAACTAAAGCTGTGAATGATGACAAGGAGGAAATTTTGGAAAAAAGTAGGCTAATTGCAAAAAGAGTAACCGAAGAGGAAAAGGATTTTATTCTAGGTGACCTTGAAAAGATCGAAGAGAAAATGCTAGCTGTGGACAAATGGTTAAGTGAAGCCGAGGCCAACCGCAAGACTCGTTTTGAAAAGGATCAGCAAGCAACGATACTGTTTGAAAATCTAGATGTAAAAATAAAGGAATGTTTCCAAATGCTTGAAGAAGTAGAAGCCGTGACAGATCAAGAGAAAACTGCAAGAAGTAAGCTTATGGTAGTATATAAACATAGTCAGTTGTGCATACAAATGCTGGAAAACATTGCACTGAAAATTGAAGCTGAGCAACTACTTCACTTGAGAGGCAGATGCAAACTGGAAGAAGCAACATTAGGGCAAGTCACACAGAGGCTGGATGAAGATCTAATATGGGTTGATGAGTTGGTTAAGAAAACACAGGAAATAAATGCTTCTCTTGTGGAACTTTCTACCAAAGTGGCTGTTGTTGAAGAATGCATCCTGTCCGAGCGTATCGCGGGTGTAAAAGAAAATTTGAAAACGCTATTGGCTGAGTCGTATGCTGCAAAAGAAACGATCACATCCTTGCAGACTTTTGAAAGGGACAAAAAGAGACTTATAATTCAACATAGCAGAATCGAAGAAAGAATATGCAAAGCAGATGAGTCGTTAGAAGAGATGGTCTTTAAGGATCTCAAAGGTTATCAACAAGCATTGAAAAGTTTGGAGGAGAGGCTCGAGGAATATAATGCCACATTTAAAGATCTGAGAAATAGAGCAAGTCAACTTACTGACGGAAATTTTCAGATTTTTGATATTGTAGAAAGTTTACAAGCAATGATTGCTGAAGTAGCTATTTTGCAATCGAATATATCGAGTGAATGGCCTAAACTGCTTAGAATATCAAGCGAAGTTAACGCCCATGCTGAATCAAAGCAGAATGTAAGCAAAAAGGTTCAAATGGAAAATGATTTCTCCAAGTTACAAGAATCTATTTTTCAATTCAAGGCAGAACTGGAGCTTAGAGTTGCCAATTTGAAGGAGGCATTTTCACGAGCAGAAACCTTTGATAGCGACGTTAGCAGCATCCGCAAGGAAATTGATACCATAAAGAACAAGCTCGACAGCGCAGCATCCACGTCCAGTTTCCAAGATTGGCAGAACGACCTGATCCTCGTTGGTAAGCAATGTCTTGCACTGGAGAAGCGCTGCATTTGTGTTTTAATTTCTTTAAAGAATTTACCAAGTGAAGCATCGTCAATTATAGAAAAGAACCTTGATACGTTTAATGCGCTTCATGACAGAGCAAAGGCGTTGCATTTTGAGACTCAGGAGCATATTGAATTTGTTGACGTTATTTGTCGTTCGCTGAGTCTGGTGAAGGAAGAGGAAAGTGTTGATGATGCCAAAGTGAAGTTTGAGACAGCATGGCAGAATGCAAAACATGCGGCAGATACAAGCACAATAGGGACATTGCTGAAAGAGCTGACGGACAAGCAGAGTGAATTCAGGAGAAGCAGGACACAGTTGTTAGATGGAATGGCTCGTATCAGAGATTGTCGTATCAATATTTCTGCAGGATGTCAAGATATGATGGACGACGGCTTAAGGACAGTGGAAGCCTTAGTTGATGAGCTAAATAGGGAAATTGCTGTTTTGTTGAATAGCATGAAAGCAAGTGATAAAGAATCCAGTGCGGCAAATGCAGATGAATTTGTTGTGGATGAAAGGGAGCAACATTTTATGAATTGTGACGATGAAATTGACGGTGGTGCTAGTCAAAAGCAGCATGCATCGCTATCCCATTCAATGTTGGCTGAAGATTCAGCTACAGTTGACGAGATTGTGTTTCCTGTTAAACTGGAGGAAGTAAAAGTTGAACCAATCTTCTTATACGACTGTTTCTCTGATTTTCTGCCTGTTGAGCCACTTGAGCGTTCAAATTCTGAGGACGATTCTCATTTAAGACAGAATGCTATGGCAGAGAAAAGCCAATTTCCCAATTCCAGTTTTGCCAACGCATACGAAAACCAGTCAACACAAAGAATGGAAATAACACCTGTAGCTGGGCTGAATCAAGTTAAAGCGGGAGAAAGGCTAGATATCGATGAAGCACAAAGAAAAGACGATGATGAAGGAAAATCAAATGGATTGACAGGTAGCAGAACGGTATTTGTGGAAGGACCACTTTCGACGGAAGATGAAGAAACGAAGATGTTTGAAAATGGGCAGGGCTATGATAAAGAAGGCAATGAAAAGGAAGTCCCAGATGATTCGAAAAAAGACGATGATGAAGAAAAATCAAATGGATTGACAGATAGCAGAACGGTATTTGTGGAAGGACCACTTTCGACGGAAGATGAAGAAACGAAGATGTTTGAAAATGGGCAGGGCTATGATAAAGAAGGCATTGAAAAGGAAGTCCCAGATGATGCGAAGAAAGACGATGATGAAGAAAAATCAAATGGATTGACAGATAGCAGAACGGTATTTGTGGAAGGACCACTTTCGACGGAAGATGAAGAATCGAAGATGTTTGAAAATGGGCAGGGCTATGATAAAGAAGGCAATGAAAAGGAAGTCCCAGATGATGCGAAAAAAGACGATGATGAAGAAAAATCAAATGGATTGACAGATAGCAGAACGGTATTTGTGGAAGGACCACTTTCGACGGAAGATGAAGAAACGAAGATGTTTGAAAATGGGCAGGGCTATGATAAAGAAAGCAATGAAAAGGAAGTCCCAGATGATTCGAAAAAAGACGATGATGAAGAAAAATCAAATGGATTGGCAGATAGCAGAACGGTATTTGTGGAAGGACCACTTTCGACGGAAGATGAAGAAACGAAGATGTTTGAAAATGGGCAGGGCTATGATAAAGAAAGCAATGAAAAGGAAGTCCCAGATGATTCGAAAAAAGACGATGATGAAGAAAAAACAAATGGATTGACAGATAGCAGAACGGTATTTGTGGAAGGACCACTTTCGACGGAAGATGAAGAAACGAAGATGTTTGAAAATGGGCAGGGCTATGATAAAGAAAGCAATGAAAAGGAAGTCCCAGATGATTCGAAAAAAGACGATGATGAAGAAAAATCAAATGGATTGACAGATAGCAGAACTGTATTTGTGGAAGGACCACTTTCTACGGAAGATGAAGAAACGAAGATGTTTGAAAAAGGGCAGGGCTATGATAAAGAAAGCAATGAAAAGGAAGTCCCAGATGATTCGAAAAAAGACGATGATGAAGAAAAATCAAATGGATTGACAGATAGCAGAACGGTATTTGTGGAAGTACCACTTTCGACGGAAGATGAAGAAACGAAGATGTTTGGAAATGGGCAGGGCTATGATAAAGAATGCAATGAAAATGAAGTCCCAGATTATGCGAAAAAAGACGATGATGAAGAAAAAGCAAATGGATTGACAGATAGCAGAACGGTATTTGTGGAAGGACCACTTTCGACGGAAGATGAAGAAACGAAGATGTTTGAAAATGGGCAGGGCTATGATAAAGAAGGCAATGAAAAGAAAGTCCCAGATGATTCGAAAAAAGACGATGATGAAAAAAAATCAAATGGATTGACAGATAGCAGAACGGTATTTGTGGAAGGACCACTTTCGACGGAAGATGAAGAAACGAAGATGTTTGAAAATGGGCAGGGCTATGATAAAGAAAGCAATGAAAAGAAAGTCCCAGATTATGCGAAAAAAGACGATGATGAAGAAAAATCAAATGGATTGACAGATAGCAGAACGGTATTTGTGGAAGGACCACTTTCGACGGAAGATGAAGAAACGAAGATGTTTGAAAATGGGCAGGGCTATGATAAAGAAGGCAATGAAAAGAAAGTCCCAGATGATTCGAAAAAAGACGATGATGAAAAAAAATCAAATGGATTGACAGATAGCAGAACGGTATTTGTGGAAGGACCACTTTCGACGGAAGATGAAGAAACGAAGATGTTTGAAAATGGGCAGGGCTATGATAAAGAAAGCAATGAAAAGAAAGTCCCAGATTATGCGAAAAAAGACGATGATGAAGAAAAATCAAATGGTTTGACAGATAGCAGAACGGTATTTGTGGAAGGACCACTTTCGACGGAAGATGAAGAAACGAAGATGTTTGAAAATGGGCAGGGCTATGATAAAGAAGGCAATGAAAAGGAAGTCCCAGATGATGCGAAAAAAGACGATGATGAAGAAAAATCAAATGGTTTGACAGATAGCAGAACGGTATTTGTGGAAGGACCACTTTCGACGGAAGATGAAGAAACGAAGATGTTTGAAAATGGGCAGGGCTATGATAAAGAAAGCAATGAAAAGGAAGTCCCAGCTGATGCGAAAAAAGACGATGATGAAGAAAAATCAAATGGTTTGACAGATAGCAGAACTGTATTTGTGGAAGGACCACTTTCGACGGAAGATGAAGAAACGAAGATGTTTGAAAAAGGGCAGGGCTATGATAAAGAAGGCAATGAAAAGGAAGTCCCAGATGATGCGAAAAAAGACGATGATGAAGAAAAATCAAATGGTTTGACAGATAGCAGAACTGTATTTGTGGAAGGACCATTTTCGACGGAAGATGAAGAAACGAAGATGTTTGAAAAAGGGCAGGGCTATGATAAAGAAGGCAATGAAAAGGAAGTCCCAGATGATTCGAAAAAAGACGATGATGAAGAAAAATCAAATGGATTGACAGATAGCAGAACGGTATTTGTGGAAGGACCACTTTCGACGGAAGATGAAGAAACGAAGATGTTTGAAAATGGGCAGGGCTATGATAAAGAAAGCAATGAAAAGGAAGTCCCAGATGATGCGAAAAAAGACGATGATGAAGAAAAATCAAATGGTTTGACAGATAGCAGAACGGTATTTGTGGAAGGACCACTTTCGACGGAAGATGAAGAAACGAAGATGTTTGAAAATGGGCAGGGCTATGATAAAGAAGGCAATGAAAAGAAAGTCCCAGATTATGTGAAAAAAGACGATGATGAAGAAAAATCAAATGGATTGACAGATAGCAGAACGGTATTTGTGGAAGGACCACTTTCGACGGAAGATGAAGAAACGGAGACGTTTGAAAATGGGCAGGGCTATGATAAAGAAGGCAATGAAAAGGAAGTCCCAGATTATGCGAAAAAAGACGATATTAATGAGTCAGAATATAGTTGTGTATCTCCTAGTGAATCGTCATTAATCGATGTCGAAACACCACGAAGTTCCATCCCAGAGCAAGTCGTTGAGGCCAGTACACACAGGAAGAGGTCAGACCAAAGCATTGAGTCAGGCCTCGATTCACTGCTGCTGTTAGATGATGTCATTGAGCACCAGAATGTTTTGTCAGCCTCGCTCAGTTCGCTTGAAACTGGATTTGAAGAAGAAGAAGAGATTTACGGATTGATCAGAGAGGCTTCTGCTGAGTTGATTCAAGTTGATCAGTTGCTCGTATCAGCAAGGAGTGATGATTATGAATCAATTGAATCACTGCAGAAAGCGCTAATCACGCTTCACGTAAGTGGCATTCTCTTGCCATTCTTTTCTATGCACCCTCTGTATATTTTAATCCGCAAAAAATTTGTCTTTCGGTTTTTTCGTTGTTTAGCTTATACGAGGTTCGTACAGCTTGGTACTGCGATCATCCCTGGTAGTAGGATACACAGCTGTAAAGATGCTGTTTTGCGCGCGCTGAGGGCTTTTTGTTGACCATATTTTTGCCTCTCCTGTTGGTTCACTATCCTTGTCTCCACGCTTGAATTCTCTTAAAAGCCAATTTAATGATCTGCCTGAAAGAAATGCCCAGCAGGACACCCTACAACAGCTGGACCGTTTTTGCGGTTCGCTTTGCGAACCAATCGGCTTTTCTCACCGCCTCGTTTCCGCTGACAATTTCCTCTAAGTTGTATTTACGCTGGATTGTAATTACTTTTGTGATATCTTCATTAAAGCAATGATATTTTTAATTTGATAACAACAGCGGTTGTTATAAGCATTTATCCCAGTAAAGGGTCAATTTCGCTTCTTGAGGTAAATACCAACATTTGCTTTGCCCTGAAAGATAATTCTTTTTGCTCTACTTGATGTTTTCACAGAAACTTCTTTTTGTCCTTTCCAGTTACAAAAGCTGGAGCGTGTTTTGTATGTTGGCCTAAATTGGATACTCAGGCTCAGTCTTATATGATAATGAATGATGGGCAGTTTTGCATTTAGCGAACGTTTTTGTTTGATTTGCAGGATGCAGAACGAGGCCTTCTAAGGATCCAGAAAATTCTGACATCCATTGACAGGCACTCGCATTCCGCAAACGTCGCTTGTGGCAGCCGTCCCTTGAGCAACATACAACAACATCTCAGTTCATCGTTGGTGGAAATCGCCAATCGCAAAGCAACGGTTTCTAAGGCAGTTCTGGACGTCATTCGTGTGCAAGATCAAATCCGTGAAACTGAGAAGGAATTGAGTAACGTTGAGAGAAGATTACTAATAGACAGAAGTACCGACGAAATAAATGTAATTGCTTCCATTGTTTTTGCAAGATGTTGATAGTGTGCGGCAAATTCTAACAAAATTATTTTCTTAGCAAGAGGATACCATCCTTGGACTTCGTTTCTTGTGCTGTTGTTGCGTTATCTGTTGTCACCGCAAAATGTCGGTCAATAAATTCACAGCTAAATGTGGATTCGATTTTACTTTTACCGGAATCAGGGCTGCCTGAAACCTGAAACCTGCAGTTATGTTTTAATTCACCGGCCTTTGAACTTTAATGTTATAAGACTCCATTTTAACTTTTATTCACTGACGTTAATCATATTTCAGATGATGATAGCTGGCATCAAAAGCTCCACTAATAAACTTCACCAATTAGCTAATGGAAAAGTAATCACGTGGGCACAGAGATCAAGTATAGATGTCCTGATTTTGCAGCATGGTGCGCTTGAAAATAGACTTAAAGAGAGGTTAAAACAAGATTGCCGTGCATTGCCGTCTTCGAAAACTACAGGCGTCTTTTTCTCGTCTGAGGAGGTAACCCTTTTTGAAATTCTTTGCCGTCCTAGACGATGTCTAGCATATATTTTTGAAAAAATGCAGTCACCACGCCTATGTAGAGAGCATGCATGTGATGTAGCTTGACTTTGATAACGTAAAGATGCATCATCTGTTCCTATACGTTTCTGATTTTGTAGAGGAACCTTTTTAGTCAGTAAACAGCCAATCAAATTTGTATTTGTAATTTGGACCAATCACAGATACCTCTGGGTGGTAAGTATTAGGTACAAAAAGTTATCCAAGCGTGAACTAACACCTGCGACTCTGGATTTTTTTTGCGCCCCAAGTTTCCATTTGTCATTGGGAAATGTCTTGCAACCCCCAGTATGCTTTTTCTCTTTTTCTTTTAGGGTTACTTCAAATCTCTCGTTAATTGAATTTCTTGTTAACTTTTTGTGTTTCCGTGTATGCAAGTTCAAAAAAAGGACATTAATTTATCTAGGAACTTTAAAAGGTATTCACCCACGACACTTATATGAGCAAGGAATTTACCAAGGGAAGATGATTCAAAATCTGGTAGACTGTTAGGTTTTGTCGCTTTCTGTGTATAAAAACGTTGGGCGCACTAAGAGCCTAATAATTTTTAAGAAACCAACAGTTAATATGTTCTCTCTCCCCCATCCCTCTCCCTCTTTATTTGTATTTCAACTAGAATCATTCAAAAAGAGCTTTTTTGCCCCTTTATGGCCTATTAAAGCGTTATACGAGGGCCAGGCAAAGCCTCACAGGCTCTTTCCGTCATTTCAAGTTGTTTTATCTCCGAGAGTCATTATGAACCAATCGTAACATTCAGAGATACTGATGATAAATTCAACATTGTGCGAAAAATGTTTACGAATGGTTTGCAAAGATGAAACTTCCAATTTTGATAAACTACACCTTCAGTGTTAAGGTGCAAAAACCAAGGTTTTCTGGAAAATGTCTTTTAAGAGAAAATAAAGATTACAAAAAATTAAAAAAATAATGTTATGGAGCCTGTTAAATCTTTAGGAGAAAAACTAAAATTTATAGTTTAAAGCAAACGGTGAAAGACGAACAATCTTTTCTTGAATGCAGAGAGTGAATCATTCCTACGAATGTTTCATTATTTTGAAGGTATTCTGTGTGAACATCTTATACCTTATTCATGAAGTTTTTTGTTTTAGTTATTATTCAATCACACATTTGGCAAAAATTACCCGCTATGGCTTCTCTATATTATTTTTTTCGAAATCGTTATGTCCTGTACATAACTTTAAAGATGAATATAAGTGACGACATGTTTCAGCCTATGTTTGACGAAGTTGCAAATATAAAACCAAATGAAATTCACCTAAATCTTAGAAAGGAGACCATCTGTCAGGCAGGTGATGTCGCTAGATAACTGATAAAATTTCCTATCGATTTTCAGCTCAGGGCAAACAATAAGAAATTCTTTGTGTCGATTGCTCTTCCGAAAAGATTTTCGCGGCTAGTTGTCTACTTCCATCCACTCGCCTTATCATTTCTTCTATTTACCTGCGGCCTGAAATATTTCAAGTCCATCTTAACCTTTCTGACAACTTGCAGATTACTTTATATTACAATTTGCAATAACATTGTCTCAAACCTTGGTACAACAGACGCCATGACCTGTTGAAAGCACTCCTTTATCTGGCTTTAGAAACGATTTGCTTTGTAACGATATTTGTATCAGTTATTCGAGATAACATTGATTATTATTTGATCCGAGCAGATGTGATAAGAGCGGCCTATGTTCTGCCTGTCAGTTATCAGCTGATCGTAGCGCTTTTCGTCTACCTTGTTTTCCGTTGGGTGAATTGAAACGGAGTAGTGACGTCAAAAGCCGTCTAAAAACGTGCTGCTATTCCCAGGAGTTGTTTGCAGAGGCGTACGGTGTCTTTTTTAAGAATTTCGGTTGCTCGCAGCCTAATTTACGAAAACGAAA